GAATGTATTCCTTTCCGTCTCTATCCCTCTCACATCGCACGCCACCACCAACCACAGGCTCAGTCCCCCCTCTCTCTCCCTCTCTCACACATGGCGACCCTTTTGGGTTCCGCCAGTGAGTGAACTAGCAAAACCCCGCACCATGACCCCGCACGTGAAAGCAAAAAGCCCAACACCGACACACACAATTTCACGCTCCCCTTCCCCTCCCCACCCTCCTCCCCGCCCGGAGGCAGGCGCAGGAGGCTCGCTGCCTGTGTTGTGTTTGCCCATTTTCCGGCTTTCGGCCTCTCGGCTCAACGCCTATCTGGGCCGAAGCGAACAATGCGCACGCACCGTACGGTAACGCACGGCACTCGTGACCCGTGGAGTTGGGGGCGGGCGAGCAAAGGGGATCAATTTAAAAAATAGAAAGACAAGAGGAGAAGGGGGGCTGGGAGATTTGGGACCAGGGAAGGAAAAAGGGCACGGGGGATAACAGGCGGTGCGAGAAGAGACAGCAATTTCCCGCTAAGTTGGCCCACACATGACTTCTCCTTTCGGGCAGCGCTACGAGACCTGCTCTTCTGTGGAACAAAGACTTTCAAGATCATAGAAATTTCAGTCCTACTTACTTTTTTTCTTCAAAGTTACCCTAGTTTTGTGTCACCTTTTTGATTTGGAGCAATAGCACACAAATATTCTCGGTTAATTTTCTACGGTACATCGTCATTTTACGAATTGCTTCGTCAAACCCAAATCTGTATTAAAAGAATGTGAACTTTGTATTTATTTTGTCAAATTTGATGACCCAGATATTTACGTTCGTTACGAAATACATTTTTAACGTAACGAAATGTTTCGTAAATAGACACTAACGATCTATTTTCGCGTACACTGAGAAATTGTCGTACCGGGTACAGGAAAATTTTCCATGGAAGAAGTCGTACAAGTACAATCTAAAATTGTACAATTCACAAGCCTATGTATCGACTTGGAATCGAATATCGAGCGACAGTGGGAGGTTGTACATGTACGACTCGTATTGTAAATCGCAAATTACAAAATATATCGTACACGTACAGATATATTGTTCACAGTGTAATTTATTTTTTACAAAGCGTTTCGTAACATTTTTTTTTTTGTAAAATCACGAAAACTTTTTACAGTGGATAGAAACGGAAGTTTTAACGCAAAACTCGCGCAAGTTTTTTTGGCCGATTAAACGAGGTACACTGAAGAATTTGATGGTTATGTACTTCCCAAGCAACGCCGTTTTACAGTTTTATCGTTAATCGTCTACCATGGCCCCGAGCGAACAGGCGCCCCTCCGCACGAATCGAAGCCGTGTGTGTCCCCGGCTGCACCAACATCCACTCCACGCCACGCCCACTTGGCCCTGCAGATTGTGTTCACAGCGCACTCATGCAACGCGGCCGCCACCCCGGCCCCGCCACCGATACGTCATCTCTGAGAGTGGCGAAATGTGAGGGGGCCCTGTTGGACAAGCGGCCCCTCTTAGCGGCATGCTGGGCCCCCAGGCTGGCCATGCAGCAAGGGCGTGGCGTGGCGTGGCGTGGCAGGGCGTAGCGGGGCGTGGCGGAGGCACGTCAACACGGGTCAACGTTTCCTCGAGGCGCTGCACTATACTGTGTGTCTCCGAGCGACCGGCTCCCCCATACCCCTCTCTCGTGCAGTGAGACACAACAACCGCTGCAGCCAACTGGGAGCTAGTCCGAAGGAGGGGCTTGCGCGATATTGAAATAGCCCACTCTTCCCTCCTCTCCTCTCCAATCTTTCTCTCTCTCCCTCACTCACACACCCACTCACTCATACTCACTCCCTCCCTCTTTCCTCTCTCACAACACAAGCCAGCTCGGAGACACACCCGCAACCCTCACATCTACTTTCACTTATTGAAAGTGAACAAAGATAGAAAAGTGGGGAGTGGGGGAGGGGGGTACTCGGGGAAAAATGTATTGTAGACTAAGTTGGCGACTGGAATCCAACTACAATACCCCCTTCGCCCTTGGTGCTGTGCTAGATTCTCTGGTGGCTTGACTCAGCTGATGGAGTACTTACAGAGTGGTGAGTTTCCGGAGGGGCCTGAGCAACGACTCGGGCAGCTGGCGCAGTCCGCAGCTCTGCAGCGACCTGGAGAAACATTGGACATTTAGCTACCGCACCTTCTTTCATTTTATTAAACATGAATATATTTTAAACATTTTAAGACACGTCTTATTTTTATTCTTTTCCCTTGCGAATTTAAAGGGGTTTTCTTGGGAGTTTCCCCAAGGAGGGAACGCGCATCCTTTGGGGTGAGGTAGACCAGATAGTGAGGTAGAGGGCAGTAGGCCTAACGCGCTCCGTGGGCAGGGGGGCCGTATGAGGCTGACCTCAAAGTCTGAAAATAATCCTGGAAATTCCTGGAGGTGGGGAGAGAGGGGAGGGGGTTAGGGGCCCAAGTTGGGCTCCCGGTGCCCCTGGGCGGTGCCGCCCGCGTCCAAAACTTAATAGCACCGGCCCCGCAATTACTTCCGGGCTAATTTATATCACCACAGAAATTAGCAAGCGGCTGGTGGGGCGTGGCGGGGCGGGGCGTGGCGGGGCGGAGCGCGAGAGATTACCGGACACGCCGCGGGAATGTTTGGAAACGCTGCTCAACACGCGCTGCATTATCGGCTCCGGGATACATAAATTAAGTATTCTTTTCCCGTTATCAAAGAAATAAAAAATAACCGAAGAAAATAGAAGACCGAGGAGAAAGCAAGAAAAAACAAAACGGCTGTGCGCTGGACACAGTAACTCAGGCGGGTGATTCCATTTACATGGCAACACCCGGCTGGCTATGCCAGGCAGCAGCCCCGGACACATTTAATGCTACCGTACCTTTCCTGAAAAAAAAGGAAGGGAACAGCGGTAAACGGAACTCGTACCCGCGAGCTAGCAGCGAGAATAACGGGGGGAAAACAATAAACTGTAAAACTGGGGCTATAAGGCACTGAAACATTGCCAGACAAGTGAGAAACGTGAGGAAAAAGATTAAGTTTGGCCGGCGCTGCCGGGGCTGCGCGCACTGTGGGAGGGGAGTGTTGGAACGGGGAGGGGGAAATGGGGGTGGTAGGGGGTAGCTGTCCGGCTAAGGCCCCCCAGCCCAGCAGCCCCCCCGTGTGGGAATACTTACAACTTCTTGAGATGGGGGCTGTGTTGGAAGGCGAGCGGCTGGATCCGCAGTTGGTGGTTGTCCCCGAGAAGGCTGCAACAGAGCATACATATAATTCAGACGACATCTCCTTCTCTATTTTTCTTTTCTCCCCATTTTCCCCGTTGCCTGCCCCCCACTCTACCACTGGTCCTCCATTCGTCCCCCCCTCCCCCCCTTCTCTTTCTCTCTCCTAACCCTCCTCTGACACCCCGCGGAGGAAACAAAAGTTAGCATCCCTACTCGGCGTGGTCGCTTGCTACTGCTGCAGCTCAGCAAAGTGGGGTACCATCGGCAATGAGCGAGCGAGCGAGAGGGGGGGGGAGAGAGAGAAAACGAGAGAGAAGGGGGGGGGCGGCGGGTGCGAGAGAGAGAAAGATTGAGGTTACTGACTCGGAGAGCGCGTGGGAGGGAGAGAGAGGGGTGAGGACGTGAAGCACGGCGTCGTCCCCGCCATAACTGACAGAGATGTTACCTTTGTTTTCATCAAAGCGGCAGCAAGCAGATTTTTTTCGTAGAAAATAAAAGTGATCGAAATAAGATCGAAACAGTGGGAGGCTCGCCGCCGTCTGGTTTCCCGTCCGGTGGCGAGGTGTTCGGGGGGACAGAGAGAGGAAGGTGGACGGATTAGCTAAAGGGGTCGCGGGGGCTCCTCGGGGCCCGGGCCGCCGCGCGGTTCGAGCCGAATGCCCCGGGCGAGTTTTCATGTCGTGCTTTAAGGTGTTCTTTATGGCGTAGCGGGAACGGCGACCATTACTGCCTTCTGGGAATGGTGTTGTATCCGAGAGAGAGCGAGGAGGCGAGCAGCCACGACCAAGACAAGCGCCCTCTTTTTATTTTCCCTTAGAACCCCCATCTATGTGAACTTAAAAAGAAAAATAAAGGAATTGGCAGGTTGAAAAAACAACGGAGTTTTCCAAAGTGAAAAAACTCCAACGATAACGCGTTTATCGTTCCCAAAGTTTTAAGTTGAACAATTTCCTATAACAACTAGTGCGTTTTTAACACAGCTTAGTTAAAACTTTTGCGGAGTACCTAAAATACATATTATTAATAAAACTTTTGGCTATTCTTAGCCAATAGCATGTGGAAATCTACAGAACGATGGTTCATTCAATTGAAAGTCTTTAATTTTTAAACCGTCCTCTGTATAGAAGACACGGATTGACGCTAGAAACTACCCACTTAAAGAGACATGGAAGTTAAGAAAAATTCAAGCCTGGGTCGCGGACAATTGCCAACTATTATTGGGGTCTAGAAATGTACTCACAGTTCTTCAAGAACGGGTAGGCCGCTGAGAGACGACTCGTTCAGCTCTGTGATGTTATTGCTGCTGAAGTCACTGCAACATACCAGAAAAAACAGGGTGTTAGTAAAACGGTCGAAACGAGTACCAACATCCTCAAGACACCACAACTTTCTCCACAAGCGCGTGATCTCTAACCCCCTCCCGCCCCTCTCTGTTGCTGTTGTTGTCGGTGTCGGTTACGCCTGTCTCAGACACTCTCATCACGATAGCCACCAGTGCGACGCGCACCCGCCGGACGCGGGGGTTGGGAGCCGGAGATGGGCTGCGGCACACCCGAAACTCATCCACCAGTAATCTGGTATACCATTTTATAGGCTCCGCTTATTTTCGTCTTTCTCTTGCTTCTCCCTCTCTTGCTCTGCGTCTTCATGTCCTCACTCTCTCTTTCTCTCTTCTCGCTAACGCGCGGCGCGGCGGCGCCCGCGGTCGCTGACGACAACCCGATGTGTTCACGAGAGGCGGGCAGAGGCTGCAAACTTGGTATTATTTTTTTTTTCGGTCCCATCGATGAAGTGTTATTATTATTATGGCGCCGTCAACAACGCAAGCGCCCCGCCCCCCTCTCCGGAGCAATCAAACGGAGGAGGATGGCCCGGCAATAAAGTGTTGCGAATAACGGTTAGGTTAGGCCCTGCTGGAAGCATCGCTCTCCAACTCCAGAGGCCCCCAACGGGTCGCGCGAACACCGGCGATATTTGGGAGATTTAACGACTCCAGCGCGTCGCCGGCAGGACCCCAACAGGACCCCTCGTGTTTGTCCAGCAGGACTTTAGCAGGACGTGAGATGGCGTCCAGCAAAGCTCCAGCAGGACTCCACCGGATTTGCAGATGGTGTACAGCAGGACTCCGCCGGAGTTGCAGATGGTGTCCAGCAGGACTCCAGCAGGACCCCACATGTTGTCCAGCAGGACTCCAGAAGCAAGTCTCCTGCAGGACTCCGGCCGGCCGGTGATGGCCGCGCCGCTCGTAACGCTCTGCAGCGACGGCGCAGAGAGCTGCATCGCCAGCAGAATCAGGAGCGGAGCAGCGTGGAGTTTGGGAGCCGAGGAGGAGAGAGGGAGCTGAGCTGGAGGAGGGGAGCGAGGGAGTCGGAGGGGAGGGAGAGAGGAGAGGTGTTGTAGGGCACTGGGACACGGCCCGCCGGACGGGCACGTGGCGGGAGGAGGGCCGAGGATGGATGAACGTCGGGGCAAGTGTGGAATAAAGTTGGCCTCCGGGGGAGCACAAGGGGGGTGAAGCTCGGATGGGATTGTTGTCCAATCTCTCCTCCTTGCAAGAAGATAGATAGATAGATAGATAGATAGATAGATAGATAGATAGATAGATAGATAGATAGATAGATAGATAGATAATGATAAGCCGAGGAGAAAAACAAAAACTCTTTTTAAAATGCGTAGACGTGGCGCCCCGAGGCGATGGTGCAAGAGGGATGAAAATTAAGATTAGTGGTGAGCCGTCCCGACGGCAGGCGGTAACTCGGCCGGCAATCAGCCCCTCGCTAATGGATCCAGCAGAGTGAGGCTGGGTGGGCGCTCATCGGGAACAAGTTTGTTACGAAACGGTTGAAAATAACAAAAGAAAGCGAGA